GCAGGGAGGAGGAGAGGAAAGAGAAGGAGTATTTCATGGCTGCACAGTGGTACACAACAGCAAGCTATTACTTTCCCTTTAGGGCTTCTCATATATTTCGAGGCACTGTATGCTGTTCGGTTGTTAGCATTCCTGGCCACACTGGCACCGCATTGTACACAGTCTGAGTAATTCAGCTGGCTTCAATAATGCCATCTATATTTAATGTTTCAGAAGCTGCGACGATTGGTTTAAGATGGTAATTTTCTGTCTGCACTTTTGAGATCTACGCAATATGGGTGGTGCTGAACTGTCTCTGACAGATTCAGCGTTGGAGGTGGGAATGTGTGAAAAAAACAAAATAAAACACACACATCCTTCCCCCCCATATAAAGAAATTAGCTACCCGCTTATGTATAGTGAGGATTTGGTCCTCATGAATGAAGGAAGCTGAACACTGGAGAGTGATATTTACCATTTCTATACAGAGCAGCTCCAGAGCTGCCACTGGAAACAAGCAATCTGTCTTGCAATTTTTTGTCTAAAATGCATTGATTGATCTCTGGAGAGACAACGTGTAGGTTAATTCTTTCTCCTTTTCTGTCTCCTCTCTGGAAATGCCAGTAAGAGGATATCAATGATGCCTACCCATCTGATCAGGACCTACTACACGGCTTCATTTCTTAGGGTCAACCTGGCAGCCATGGTGACAAACGGTTTTGGTTGCACGTAGACCAGTTGAGCTTCCAGACTGGTGCTGGTGGAGCTCTAGGCCGTGCAGGTATCTCTCTCCAGGATCCTCAGAGCTGCAATGAGCACCGTGAGATGCTTTTCTGCTTCCTGACACTGGCATTTTGGCCTAGGGAAAAGACCCTTGCATAACTTGCAGGGTACCCTCAGAGACCCAAAGAATTGCACACTGGAGGACTACTGGAAGACAACAGAAGAATGAGCCAGGTATTTCCTGGCTGTGTAACCAAGAAGTCAGTCCTTTGCTTGAGGAAACTGGGGAACTGCTGTCTGAATGCCATGGCTGTGCCACAAAGCTGGGGACATCAGGGCTTAAACGAAATGGCCAGAGACAAGATTGACGGAAGGGACACTTTGATAGCTGTGCTGGCACTAGCTGTGAGACAAGACAGCAGGATATAACAGGTGGGAAGCGGGGTAGCAAATGTGTGTGGGTGGGTGGGCATGGGGGGAAGCTCTGGCAGAAACGCTGAATGAGATGGCAAAGGAGATGGAACAGTATCAGACAGCACAAACATTAAAATCAAGAACAATTTTTTATTTTCATTGATTGTGGTGTATACTTGCAGGCAATCTGAAGGGCAGCAGAAATATCTATAGGATCAATTTTTAATAAGCACATTTATGTGAAAAACAAAATAATTTTGAATAATTAAATACCATCATCTTGGCATCATTCATTACAATCTTTATGGAGAGGCTGTCTGTTAATAAGCAGGCGTGACAGCCGTCCCTGTTATGAAACTTGCCTCATTCCTGCCAGTATAAGATCCTCTTCCCATTTGCTTCTAATTTTGCCAAACATCACGTGTTTGTGCTGAAATTTTTCAGGCTGTTCATCTGTCTTAGGCTGATTTTTTTTTCAGTCAAAGCTATTTCTTCATTTTCCAAAATGGGACTAGAAGGGAAAAATATGCTGTTTGGCAGGTATAACTCCATGTTACAACTTCCTGGTGGTGGCATAAGCCACTCGGGAAAAAGAAAGCTCAGAACGTGGCCCATGCAAAATAAGCAGGTTCTGCAGCTTTTAGAGATAAATATGAGGGAAAGAAAAAGAAAGAAGGTTAAACCCCCAGGGGATGGCTACAAGGTTTAAACAATTGTGACATCTTTGGGGGTTGAATGGGAATGTCCCAGTTCTGTGAAGGAAAAACCTTATGTGTGACTGGGAATATGGTACCTTAGATATAGATACTCTGTTTTCCACCCCTGTGAAAATAAGACCCATTTGCTGTCTTTGAAAATATGAGCCTATGCACACACAGTAAGCCTGCAGTAGTTGACAGTTTAACCATTAAGACTGCTGGAAGGTTTTATCTCATATCAAGTGCTTTGCAGCTCATACTGCAACCAGAATGCACACTCTTTTACCCCGGGGCAACTTGAGCATGTTGGATGTTTTCCTGGGATTCCTGTTCCTGGATGGTCCAGAGCCAAGCACAAAGATGCAGAGCAGAGAGCATCTCTCTCTCTCGTGCTCTCAGAGAGTGTCTGCCACACCACTTCCTCCCATGCTCGGACAATTTTGGAAAAATTGCCTCAAACACAAAACAGAAAAAGTCAGGATCAAAGGAAGAGGAATATAATTAGAATAAATCACAGTGGGAGATCGCAATGGGAGATGTGAAAATAAAACAGTGGAAGTTTGTGAGCTGATCTGCGGTATGTAAAACTTGGCCATGGAAGAGCCATGGGGAGGGGGTTGATAGGATGGGGAAGGAGATTTCAGTTCTGGCAGAAGTGTAACAAGTTCAACCCATGAGTGAAACTTGGTTTCCCATTTGTAACAGTCATTCAGTAGTGAAAAGGCTTTCCAGGGGCAGAGATGGACTGAAAAATCACTTGGGATCTTCCAGATGGGAGTTTATATTGTTCAGAAGCACGGGCTCTAGGGTTTCTCCCAGAAGCTGGAGTAAAATTTCTGAACCAAGATGAAGGTGCAGTCTGGATGGTGATGATGTTCTCCTTGGATGTGCATGGCTATTCACTTCCTTCAGAGGCTGTGGAGATCTTTTGTGAGGTCCTCCTCAGGCTCCCTAGTACTTGTAGCACTGCACTGAGGCAATAACAATAATCAAATCCCATGCTTCAAAGTTTCAGCTGACTGCCTGGAGATGAAAAGAAGGGCTTCCCCCCCCAGTACATAATTGGCTAGATGCATTCCTGGCTTTGTGTGAGGATCATTTCGTTCATTTTGGCTCCTCCCTTTGAATCATCAGAGCTGGCCACACTGGTGAGACATAACTGCTCAGAGAAGACTCTGAGACGGGAGGCAAAGACTCCTTTCTCTTAACAACCCTTGCCATGTTCAGGTGTGTAAGGTCAAACAGGTTGCAGCTGGGAAGGAGAGGACATTTCACCAGCCCCTATTAGGTGACGCATCTGCTTACCAAACCTCAGGTGTCTCAGCTAGTGAGCCTTGAAAGGACTTATGCTGTCTTTCTGGTGTCTTGTATACTCTGCTTCTCTTCCGAGGATTGGAGTCCCTTATTTCTAAATTGCAGACAACAGCTAGAGCTATCCTGGGTGAAGCTTAATGGTCTGTAATAACAGGAGGTTACATGAGGTGACCAAATGGTCCCTTCTGGGCTAAAAAGTTACAAAATGTCTGAAAAGCTATAGCTGTGCTAAGGACCTGCATGGGTATCAGTGTGTGACATACGACAGTATACACAAATTCAGTGTATCTTCTGAAAACATAGGGAGTAGTACCCAACAAGCAAGATGAACACAGGCCTGAGGTGGCAATCCATCCCTGGTCAGGAAATGCCAAAGTAGAGCTTCCCACACAAAAGTTGGCTGGGCAAGAGCCGCAGTGGAACAAACCTTGTTATTTCATATAAAATCTTGAGATTCGAAATGCTCTTGTGCTGTGGTGGAGTGAATACACATACCTGAATGTCTCTTGAAGGCTCCCAGGGAGCAGTCCAGGTGGCAAGATCTGTCAAAAAACTAACCCAGCTGGACTGTAGAGTGTGTGAGATATAATCAGACTTATACCCACATGTATTTTTACTTCAGTGGCTGAATTAATCCATCATACTGGTGTTCACTTACAACAGAAATACACTACCAATAACTCCATCAGTCCCTGAAATGTCATCTGTTTCCGAGCAGTTCTGAAAACAATACTGGTGCCAAGTCCTTTGATGCTTGGGACTTCCAGTGCAGTGGAACAAGGCCAGGGACTATTTCTAGGTTCGCTATCTGTAACTTACCAAGATGCTGAACACCTGCAACATCGGTTTGAGTCAGAGTTACCCGTCCTAAGCACAAGCATAAACTAAGCTTTAGATGCTTAGATACATGGTTAGATCAGTAACGCAAGTTAGTAAAGCAATTCCTCGTTCAAGTAGTCCTTAAAAAGGATTGTGCTTACAAGCAATATGTTGCCCCAGGAAATCAGTTTCGTTTCTTGATCACTAAGGGAAAGCACCATAAACTCCTTTTTAATTTCATGTTTGTCTCCTCTTGCTCTTCAGCAGTGTCTAACATTCATCACATCAATACAAAAATATTTAATAATTTCAGAATTAACTGAATCTACTGACCTGCTCTTGACAGTCCCAATAAATCTTTGCAGAACCTAAAGCTAGCCAAGACCAGGGGACATGGGCTTTTAAAGAAGTCCCTACATCCCAGAATTCTCTTCATAAAAATAGGTTTTCAGTCATAGCTTTTTGTTTTGATAGTTCAGATCAGCAGTCTTCCTGGCAGATATATTGATTGTAGGGCAACAGTCTTCCTGATCTAATAAAATATCACAGCACAAGGGAAAAAAATGGAAGCTTTTGTCTTCTTGGAACTCAGTGTGAAAGCTTTCCAGAATATTGCTTTGCATAGAATGAAAATGGCTGTGGGCCAATGACTAATTATATTAAAGGGCTGTGCTTTTAAATTATTTATGTACCATAGTGTTTACCCTAGTATTATTAAAACCACTGCATACACTTCTACAAATAAGATTTTGCTTCAGATGAATGTGCCAGTCGCTCTGTGGGTGATATACTGTACCAGGAGTTTCTACTTTAATCTAACAAATAGCTTAACACACATTAACAGATGCATTACTCGTGGAGCGCTGCTGCAGAAGGAGATGCAGATGAAAATAATTTACCTCTGGTCCATTTAGACAAAGCAGATTATGCAACAATAGTAAATGTAGGAGCAGACTGCAAAGCATTGCTTGAAATGAGGATGTATCAAACTGAGGATTTAAAACCGCTTCGGATCCAGACGATGCTAACCAGAAACTTCTCTTGTTTGTGCAGCAATTGCTGAGCATACAGGAAGAATTAAATAACAAAAAATCCGAACTGGAGCAAGCCAAGGAAGAGCAAACACATACACAAGCGATGCTTAAAGTCCTGCAGGAACAGGTGAGTGTTTCTGGCGGAGAAAAATGCTGGCTTAGGTATGCTAAGGGAATGGAGAACTCATGGCTTCACCTCCAAAATCCATAGGAGCTCTGACCACAGAGTATACTGTGAGCAAGACATAACCTTATGTGGCCTGTGTGTCTGCTCTGATTAGCATTTGTGAATGCAGCTGAGGCTAACATAGAATTTGAGAAAACAGAGTGAAAAGGGACCCTTATTTTATACTATCCAATATTGAATTTCATGTCTTGAGTAACATTTCCTCTTACGTTATTCTACATAGATATCAGTGATATGTGTTTTTGCTCTGAATTAAAAAAAATGTTGGGGGAGTTAAATATACCTGAAACAAAACTGCTCTTTCTTTTAAGACTAGTATTGAAAAAAAAGAGCGTGGCATCTCCTGAGTTATTCGTGCAGATATGAGTATACAAAAAACTTTATCATAATGGCATTAAAAAAGTAGTTATCAATGCACTTATTTAAGCAGTGAGAAACAAACCCCTGTAAATCTGATTATCACACCTTCTTTGGTACTAAGGTGTTCTATGACGCTGAGAAGTATATTTGATAGTATTGTTTTATAAGCATGGTAAGATGGATAGTTACACAGCAAAAAGGAAATCTGGTGCCAAACCTGTAAATCTGGAGACGACACAGTGCATTGTGTGCAAGCACAGTGTGCACAAATACATGTTGTCTGTATAAACCACGTGGCTTGGACACACCAAAATCACAAATCCCCACCTGTGCACAGGTACAGTCTCCTCTCTGAGACCTTATTTTGATCCTTTCTATATAAACTTTGAGGTAAAATATTTAGTGACTTGGTTAAGTATTTGCAGTTTAAAGACTGTGGGATCTGAATTGCTGAGATGGCAGAGATTCAAAATGCTGATGATTCTTATGGTCCAGATTTTTCAGCATGTATGTCTGAATATGTCTGCAGACAAATTTATACATTTTATGTACATATTGGAAAAAGTAAATTATGCTTATTTCAGATTTTTTTAATGCTCATTATGAAAGCTGTGACATTGTTCCACATCTAACATTTGCCTTTGAACATATCTAGTGACAAATATATTCTAGAAACTAATAATTTAGGTTCTGGAAAAAATAAAGCTTTTATGTTCAGATACATGTTCTTGGCACTTACGGTTACAAAAACAGCCTTCTAAATAAGAGCTGATGCAAGACTGTATTACAGAAAACATCATGAGGAAGAATGGATTTGGTAACGACAAAATCTTTATAAACACAGAATCCACCAGATCTCTTGAGTTAACTGCATCTCATTTACATTTTTACACACCATTCAAGGTATAATGTTTTAAAACACTTTAAAAAAAAAAAGAAATTCCATAAAGTTATTTTATATCTTGGTAGCAATTAAATGCTGCAAAAATGTATAGGAGGATCTAACAATACTGGTCCTCAGTAGGGACCACCAGGGCAGACTTTTGAATCTCTGCAGACTCCTACTGATTGCGAATCAAATGTGCGCTCATGCTAGGCAGACAGACGAAACAGTAGCTGGAAGAAAGGCAGGATGGATCTGCATTTCTCTTGAGAATTAGCTCTGAAACACGCCTAAGGCCAAGACTGTAAGTAGCCAGAATTCCTAAGGAGCGCTACGCAGCCAGTGTGCTTCTCCAACAACCCTGAACCAGTTCCAAAACTTTCCAGAACAGCAAAAGCCCTAGCAGTAATGACCCCCACTTGCCAAGGCTCACAGCTTTCCTTTGCGAGCGCCACAGCTCATCTGTGTGTTTTATCCACAACGGGTATTGAAAATCATCTGGGAGAGTCAAGTAAATACGAACATTTCTTTCAAAAATATACAGCGCTGGGCTCCCGCCTCGATTATATGACTCGTTTTTGTGATACGTTTGCTAAAATCTGCCTATTCATCTCAAGCTGGCAGAAGGATCCCTCCCTGCCTCAGCAGGGGCATGCTTGCACGGAGAGGTGCAGCTGTGTCTGAGCACGTCTGCTGGCTCAGCAGCACCTCACGTTGATCCAGTTGCAGTAACCCAGCCGCGTCCAGGCTGGGACGTCCTGCTGGGAAAGTTCCCGTTTGCTTATGCACCATGTTGCATTACTGTAGCCAAAAGGCTTCTGGATCAGATCTGGCCCGTGGCCACCAGCTCTTTTTGTCAGAGGGATTCACGCCTGCTGGTTTGTGTCAGAACTACCCCACCACAGCATTAGATGCATCAGAGACTTCTAACTCCTCAACCCTTCTCCTTTCCTTTCAGGTAGGCTCTTGGTTGTTACTGGCACTAGTTCAGTGTGTTGCCTCAGCATGCTCTCTGCTGGTAACATCACGTTCACCACTGACCTGCAATGGAGCCTGCCTAGGGGGTAAGGCAAGTCCCATTTTTCCAATATTGTATGTTTTTCTGAGGTTCCTATTCCAACATTTCACTATTTAGGATGTGAGAGAAGAATATAATTTAAATTTTAATTTAGAAAAAAACAATATTGGAAAAAAAGGGACTTTACCCCTTTAACCTGTGGAAATGCAGCTGCACATTCTCTACACACAAGTTTTCCACCATTATCTCCACCAGTTCACTTCCACCTCCTACTGCAGTGGTCCTCGTGTAGATGTGGATGCTAGCGCCTTCTTGCCTGAGCATTGGCATCCTTTTCTGAGCATGGCAGGCAATAAAAGAGATGGAAAAGCTCAAGCATCCTGTCTGCGTTAGAGTTAGATTAACTGCATTAGAGTGGAGCAGTGCCAGGGCAGTGATGGTGGGAAACCATGGTGAGGTGAAAGCCTACTAGACCAACATAGGCTAGAGGCTGAGCCTCAAATGCGCATGTGGTTGATGGGGGAGTGGTATGTCACCAGCAGAATGCATGTGGAGCATTGCCTAAGAAGCTGGCAGTGACCAAGGGGTGATGGCACTTTATGAGCTTGGAAAAGGAAAGGCGAAAGGTAGGTAATGAACAGCATTCCCCGAGCGCTCAGGACATGGTATTAGCGTGCAGAGCAGTTTTACATACCCGAGCATGCTCTCCTGACCTCATATTCAGATGAGTAGTTCAGTTGAACTCAACAGGACTGCTCACATGAGGTGAATTTCTATAATGAAGAATTGGCAGAATCAGGAAATGTCTCCTTTGGTCACACCGTGATGCAGAAATACCTAACTTTGGTGCTTGGCTGCGAGTAGCCCTCTTGGCTTGTTCCTAGCAGCCATCCTTACAGGGAGGTGGTTTCACAGGATGGTTATTTTTTCAGTGCAGGGAAAACACGTAGCATTCGTTGGAAATGCATCACCCTGCTGTCAGTACAAATTGCAGACTTTTCAAGGGTATTGAAAGATGAGCATCAGTGAATTGAACCAGGACACCTGATGAGTTTGAAGTCCCCAGCTATTCTTTGTACTGTTTTATCAGGGATTGCCACCCCCTTCCCTCTCCATCAGGACCAGTTTAGTGGCTTGAGCAGCAGTTCCTGTACTGATGCAGTTTACAGCCCTGCGTAATAAGGTACACCGAGACCATGGCCTACTTACCTTAATTGTCAGGTTGGAAACTGTGATAAGCTGGGAACTGAATCACACGCAGTTTAGCTGTTGCTGCCACGTGGCAAAAAGATGATGGAGGTAACCGAGCCGCCCTAGGGTGGTAGTCCACCAACGCTTCTGAGTCAGACACCTAATTGAAACATAATAGCGTTCCATTTCACCTGGATTTTAGGACTGTTGTCATTCAGGATCACAGTTGTATCATCAACAGTTACATCAATTCCAGCTTCTTTGGCAAAAAAACAAGGAATGCAGAGGAAAGTTCTGTTTATTGTTCCCCATCTCCCCCCACCCCAGATATCTACTCTGAATTAAGCTAGAATAAAAGCATGACTCTTCAGAGATTTACCTAAAGAGTAAATGATTCTAAGTGCTTCATTTAAGTGTACAAACCTCCACGGCTTATAGGCTCAGGAGAGCTGCGGTGTCTCTTCCTTTCTGTGTTTGCTCAATCACAGCGTGAACGACTGCATATTTCACTGTGGCTCGAGACATGAGCTAGGACATTCCTTAAATCTCTTGGGAACGATTTTTACAATCCCCAATGTAATCATGGATTTTCCCCAAAAAGCTAATTCAGGAGGGAAAAAAAAGTTTTGGTTCATGTATTTGGAATTGGCAGTGTCTCCTCAGTTCTTCCTGCCACTGGTTAAATAAAAGAGCTGTTCTTCTCTTCACCTCCTTTTCCGTCATACCCAGGAGCCATGTCAGTTATTTAGAGGCTTCCTCAGGAAGGAAACATACAGTAGCACTTTAGCATCTTAAACAGCTCAAAATATATCATTCAAAAGTAATCATTAGCAAAACACTATTTAGCTAGTGGCAACTTGCAAATATTGTAAAGTTTCAATTATTAGCAACAAGAATGGGAAATGAAATCGTTTATTATTCTTGAGAGCCAATTCTGTACACTTTTTATGCCTTGAAACTACTTTCTAATCTTATTATTTAAAAAATAATGACCCAGTCTTATTATTTTCCTTTTTTTTTTTTTGCCAACCTATCAAGCCTTAAGTATGTTGGTTTCAAAATGGTTTGAGCAAAAACTCATTAGAATTATATGCTCCATCTGTTTTTCTCATTGGAAGCTTTATAAAATGCTCCTTCAAATGAATCAAAGGTAAGTGTGTGAAATACTCAAGTAATGTGCTTGTTTTGTTCTGTTTTGTTTTTTGTTTACTCTTTGCAGTTAAAAAGCGCCAAGGAATTAGCAGAAATCAATGGGCATGACGAATCTCAGGCAAATGTAGGTACAGCTATCTATGTATAGATTTAGAGAGATATATATGTGCATGCGTATGGTCTCAAATTTACTATTTATGTCTTAAAGCTGATAGAATGGCTGAATGATTTGCACATGAGGTTTGAAGTGCCTGGTTTTTTTCCTGAAGCCACAGGTTCAAATCCCAGCAAACTTCATTTCGAGGTAGATAAATTGGGTTCCATGCAATTTACTTTGTAGGATTTATTTGGATGAGACTTTAACAACCAATGTCCTACTTGCTGTATGTAGGTGTTAGAGATACCATGGAAACGACTGCAAGAAAAGTGCTTTGCCTTAGTGTCCTGTCCAGGATTACTCAAGCTACAAAGTTACACCGTTTGTCTCTGTGGCTGCCACCTTGCAGCTGAGCAAGTCTGGCCATATTTCACTTCTGAGTGAAGTGATTCATATACATGCATATAATTTGAAAACAGTTAATTTGCACAAGAGGACTAAATTAATTCATTGAGTCATTATTTTGTCCAAAATTGTTAAAGGACTTGTTAAGGTCATGTTTTTTAAAACCCGCTGGCAAAAAAATGCTTCTGTTATTCCCTTAATGATTGCAGTCAAAACAGCAATTTGGATAAGGGGAGAGAGAAAAAAGAAAAACTTTCCTGTGATGTTTGTCATCCAAACCATGCAGCTTTGCGCTTTATCATAAACATATGAAAATTAAATCTGATTATATATGATATCTTTCTCCTAGCCAAGAGAACTAGCAACAGTCTCAACACTGATATATTTTAACATCTGTTTGTCTAATGGCACAGCCAGGAAAGCAGTTTTATTTTAAACCTGAATGGAAGGCTCAAATTTTGTGAACTGCTTTGTGATAAGGAAATGTTATCCTCTCTTTTTTAATCCTTTCCTGAATCTCGTTCATTGTGGTCTGTTTCTGCAGTGAAGTCGATAGAGCCTCATAGCTCTCAGCATTTGGATAGGAGACATTCAATATTGTCTCACAGCTCCAACAAATCTGCAACTGCAGTCTGTCTGCACAGCATCTCATTGCCCCTTTGAAAGACTCTGTTTGCAAACCAAAATAAAGACGTTAATCCACTCGTGATCTTGAAATGCACACATTTGCTACCTAAAAACTTCTCCTTGTTCAACAGCTGGTTGCAGGTTTCCTAAAGGAATTTAGAAATGTAAGACTTAGAAACTTTCTAAAGGAATTTGCTTCCTCTCCAAGAATGCGGATGAAGCAATGTTTTGCAAGAGTGAAATGTTTTAAAGGAAAATTATCTAAATGCTTCAACTTTTATCATTCTGGCTCATATGTAACTGGATAAAACTGAAGAGCCTGAAAGTTTTATTTTTATATAATATAAAGATTGAAATAGCATTGAAATGAAACATTTCAATTGTATAAAGAGAGTCTTTCAGTACAGCATTCCCAGATATCTAAAACAAAATATTTCAGAATCTTTTGTTAATGGGAAATTTTTCAAAATGTAATGTTTTGTTCCAGTTTGTAATTGCAGGAATTGTTTAAATGCCTGAATTTTCCATAGGATAGAAACTCTATTTTCTGCCCCTCTTTGCCATGAGCTCTTCCCATGATGATCTCACAGCAATATTAGACTCCTAAGAAAAGAAGTCAATACCTAAATTAATGGTGAAGAGGGAAACCAGACAGCTACAATTATTGAGTCACAGTTGCAGCCATGTATTCAACAATTATGCCACCATGAAATCAGAGAAGGCATAGCAGCACAAATGGAAATGGAGAAACAGAGGGAAAGAATGGATGTTAATGCATTTGCTACCGTAATGAACTTTGTAAAATGGAAGTTGAGGTACCTTTTAAACAATTGTCGTCTACATCAAATATGTAGTGCTCAGGTGTTGTGCCTTGCAGGTTGTCTCTCCACATCTATTCTCAGCAGACTTCATGGTTCTTGCCCTTGGCCAGTGTGCAAATCTGGGATGATCAAAGAGAAAAAGGCTTGGTGGCTCCTACGTGGTTGTTAGTGAACTGTGATGCATATAATGGGATTAGGACATATTTGTTACAGTTGACAGGTTGAATTCAGCAAATGAAATACCTTTGCATGCAGAGCAATAGTGGGAGGTGTTGGTAAGGAAAAATGGCAACGTATGTCTATACGCTGAACACACAATCTAATCTTCACACTATGGCATATTTAGATTAGTTACTCTGCAGAAAATCAGGCTCCTAGAAAGGACAGTAGAAACTTTAGGCACACCGCATACACATCAAGAAAGCCCATACTGTAATCTTAAAAAGATTATTTTCTGCAGTCCTCATCCTTTCTGCTGATGGCACTGGTCTGCATCATATTTTACATCAGAAAATATTGTTTCTTAAAATAAAACTTGGAAATATTTTTCTTAGCAAAAGCAGATACAGATGGAAATATATACATAGACCTATCCTGGTGTGTCTTCTACATTTCCATTATGTGAGACGATCCTGAAAGGGAAACAAGGATCTGGACACTTTGGAAAAAAAACCAACATCCTTCTGAAATATGCCCAACCTATAAAGGGACCAATCTTCATTTTTTTCTCTTGTTTTTGCAGGAGAATTGAGCACAGTTAACTAAGAGGCTGGAGCAATTGCAATGTTACCCTCCCTGCCATGGCAGTTCACACACAAATCTGGGGGAAAAAAAGTAGAAATGTTAGTGTATTGCCAGTACATCTGTTATTTCCAGAAAGCAAAACCATCTTACAAGGCTCTGTAAACAGTCATAAGAGTGTTTCATGACTTGCCAGGTACAGTAATATTTGTTATAGCTGGTGACATTTCCCAGCTATACTCTGTGGCCAGAAAGGCCAAATGTCAGGCTCAAGCAGCACATAGAGCCCGGGATCCTGGCCTGGTGTTAAGAGAGACTTCAACACCCAGGACTGCCAGAGGTGCTGTCACTGAGCGTTCTTTTCCTTCAGCCCTGCAGTTAGGAAAAGATTGGTTCTTGCTTCTGATCTGCCCCCCTTTTAATTTCCTCTTCATTGCTGCATATAATGATATTTAATTCACATCTCTGTCTTAACTGAAGAGAAAATAATGGCCAATGGATAATTATAATTTCAGATATAATCCTCTTCCAGGATGTTCCCAGACTCTTGGGACCTGATTAGTCCCAACATGAAAAAAAATCTTGCCTGGGAGGTGTGCTCGAATAGAGAACCTTTTGCAAACTGAAAATGTTAATCACATGTTTTGTGGCTAACTCTGTAAAGCCAATTTATTCTTCCACTGTTTCTGTAAGTTCAGTGGCTTTCTGTGGAGCCTCTTGTATATAGGTTAATTTTGTGTTTTGTTCAAAGATCTCCTTTTGCTCACTGCTGCGTTCAGTATACATAGGGCACTGCATGCAAATACAGTTATATAGCCTTGGTGAATATATCCCTGTTTTGAGGGTGGGAAGGTTAACATCCATGGTATCCATCTATTGTTAATGGCGAAAGGGAGATTTTTTTAGACAAGCCTCATTTTAGAAGTGCTCAGTGATCTTCTTCCAGGAGTTTGGCACTCTCCTTTGACAGCTATCTGCCTTCCTTAGATGGAGGATAGCTCCTGTGAATGACTCCTACCCTTTGTAAAAGTGCCATAAAATGGTAGTCAAGAGTATCAGTCCTCCAAGTTCAGACCAAAGCAAGAGACGGGTCATGGTCGCAGAATCATTTTGAATGCCCAGATTGCAATTGCATGGTAAAGTCCTGACTCTGTTGAAGTCAATAATTAAATTCTTGGTGGGTTAAAAAGCCAGGATTTCACCAAAAGACTTTTAGGGTGACTTCATTATCACTAAGGCATAATAAAACGAATGTATTTCAGAGAGTGAGAGTGAAACTGATTTCACCACAAGTTTTTTTACCAGCTTTTTGTTCCGTTTGAGTTTCATTGTTTGAACAAAGTAATGACTTTGACCTCATTTGTCTGTCTGCCTCCAGTTAGCATCTCCAGCAGCTTGGACACAATAGTCTGTGGGTTTTTCTCCAGACATGAAATCAATAATATTAAGTAGGGATGCATTTTTCCATTTGAATGTTTGAAGCTGTTATCAGAGCATTTCTCAAGTTCAACCAAGCATCTTACATTTGATGTTGATTCTTTCTTTAATTTTTCCCCTCTGTATCTGCTTTTCAAGCAGTTACCAGATGATCCCTGATTCTGAGGAGTAGTATACCCAGGGTGAAATATTTCAACCATTTTACTAAATTGCTCACTTTATGCTACACTGAAAGTGATGTTATTCCTGACTATACCCTAGTCTTTTCTTTTCACATAGTATGGTTAATCACTGATGATCTTTACCAAAGACAAGTAAAGACAGCTCTTAAATGAGGTTCATTTTTGCAACAAGCTGGGCAAAGATTTAAATTTTTGGAGAAGTCTGTAATTCCATCAACCTCATCAGAGTTCAATTCTTGTACTTCACTATGCAAACCTTTAATAGAAGCACCCAAGGGTACCTGCTGTGAACGTTCCATGTCAGTGTATGTATTAGTACACACCTGCCATAGGATGGGGCACCTCCGTGCTGTGTGGCTGCCTCACATCAAGCCAAGTGAGATGAAAAAGGCCCTTGAATACAGGGAGAGGAGAGGGAGCTAGAAAAGTGCAAGGCCTGCTCAAATCCTCCCAGTGGTTCGGGACTACGGGACAGAAGTTGGTCGCCTTTATTGGTGAAGATCCCAAGTAATTGCTGATGCTTTTGCTTCACTTCCTTGTGAGTGCAACAGCCATTTCCTGGCTAGCCCACTCTTCAAAAGGCTTGCTCTTCGCAGACCAACACAGGTTTGTGACAAAAAAATGTGCTCTACATGGCTAATATAAAAGCAATTTAGGCCTAAAGTTATAGGCCAGAAAACCGCAGTGTAGGGCATGCACATGTCAGGAAATGTGTGTTTCTTTTCTATCTGAGCTTCCTGGCTTTGTAAGCTGTGAACCTCAGCCTCAGCAAGCTGACGTGAGTCAGGGAGTAGCTGCCTCGGCTTGGCTGGGG